AAAATACAAAATATATGGCTCTAAAGAATGAATTCAAAAGAATGGAATAAATATAGAAACAGTTACATCTACGGAGTATATTACTAAAGCATGGACAATGAGTAAAAATGTGATCTTCTATATCTAGTTACTTTAGTATTAACTTAGTTATTATAAATTTGTACTACATTAAGGATGTTTTTTTTGGACTGAAATTTGTTGGTCTGGTCTGGTCTGTTAACGTCTGGTCTCTGTGTATTTTATAACTACAGAAGTCTGGTCTAGTCTGGTCTGGTCTGTTTAAGTCTGGTCTAGTCTGGGACTGAAAATAGTCCAAAAGAAAACATCCTAAATTATAGTGATCGTGATGTTAAAATCATAGTATTTTTAAATCACGGTTTTGTCCATGATGTACTTTCTATGATATTTTAGAGAAATACTTCATATATAATTTTCCGTATTTGATCACACAAATCAATTCAATTATCTGATTAAAACATAGCCATTAGTATTATATATGTGTCTTTAATGTAAACTTTGATTAAATTTCATCCCACGGCAGTCTGGCGGACTCATGCAGACTTTCAAACACATAGGAGCAGTCCTTCACTTTCTTTCAAGTCTTGAGATAGTTGTTCTCCTTCTAAGGTTCATGCGATTCTTATATCCTAGCTATTTTCTTATTACTTATTTTCTTATTTCTTTACTTGATTGGTGATTACTGATTACTTTATGCATATACTTGAGCACTTTAGTTTTTTTACTAAATTATGTACTCTAGTTGTTTTTAGTCAATTGTAGTCGGCTAGTCATTAGTGTTGAAGATGGAGTCTTGTTCAGAGTTTCAGAACTGATACCTGACCGGGTCAGATGAAGGACCCGACCGGGTATGTTGAAGCAGAGATCTGGGGACTCTCTGGAATGTGAGACCCGACCGGGTCAGGTGAAGGACCCGACCGGGTCAGATGTTCGATAAGCTTCTGTTTTGGAAACCCGACCTGGTTTCTACCCGGGTTTGTATTCTGTGAAGGAGACCCGACCGGGTCAAATAAGAGACCCGACCGGGTCAGTCGACGGGATTTTTAATTACAGGCTTAATTTTGGGCCTGCGGCTCTAATCTCAGTTTAGGTTTTCTTAAACCTATTTAAACGACTCTTATGTACTTGTAAACCTCTGGAGTGACGCTGATAATAATACATACTCTCTCTCGTTCGCCGTGGACTAGCACAATCAAATCGATTGTGTGAACCACGTTAATTCTTGTGTTCTTGCTCTTAATTTATCGTTTATCTTTGCCTAATCGTAACAATTGGTATCAGAGCTATGGCTGACGAAGGGAAGGTTAAGATCGATAAATTTGATGGTCAAGATTTCGCTTTCTGGAAGATGCAGATCGAGGATTATCTCTACCAGAAGAAGCTTCATCTGTAACACCGTCCCCAAATGTATTTACTTTTAAGTGAATAAAGTATTGAACCTTATGGAACGGTTAACGAATATTCGAAGTTGTGAATTTTTATTAATGTTTTTGCGTGAATCGTAAATTCGCACGTGAGGCCCGCACCGGGAGCGGGGGCCGCCCGATATTCCCGGGACCATATATTTTATTCATCTTGGTCTAGATAATATTTATATGGTGGTGGGCATCTCATTTGAGCAATGGAAAGGCCCAGAGTTGACCGATTGGTCAAAAGAGGCCCAAATCCCGGTATTGGTAATTTAACCGATAAAAGCCCGAAATTGGATTTCGGGGACTTATAAATTAAAGTTTGGGAATGTATATTCATTATAAAGGGTATAATGATTAAGAGCACATAATATATTTTATTTGACCCGATAAAATAAAATATATTTAAAACAGCCCGAGAAATACAACTTTCGGGACCAATCGTACACTTCGGGACAAATTGGGATGACCTCCCACAGGGGTGGGGGCCACCCCACGAAATTGTCAACCAACAAAGGTTGATTGAGCCCAAAAGTGGGCTGGAGACTATTGAGGAGATGGGGGAGACACCTTTGACATCAAAAGGGGCCCTCTCACCCCATAATTTCCCAAAGAAAACAAAAAGAAACACACCCCCTCTTTCCTCACTCAATCACTTCGGCCAGCACCAAGGAAAAGGGGAGAAAGAGCTCTGAAAACTCATCCTCCATAGTCAAGAACCGAGCTCAAGAAGGAGTAGCCCAAAAGAAGGTGTTTTGAGAAGGAAAAAGCTAGGGGAAAGTGAGAAAAGTGAGGTAATGGCCTTATCATAGCTTCTCCTTTATTTTTTCTTCTACCATATGAGATATATATCATATGGAGAACCTTGAGGACTGTTCTACATGATCTAAGTGTGAAATAATGGGTTGGAAGGTGGTTCTATGTCCAAAAACGGACTTAGAAGCCAAAACGACCGATTCACCGGAAAATAACCTTTTAGAGGTTATTTGTATTGATTAAGGTTTTATGGTGTTAAAACCTTGTTAGGAACTTGATTAAAGTATTTTTGAGCTTCGCCGGAGTTTTGCCGGAGTTGGTCAAAGTTCACCGGAGTTGGTCAAAGTTCCACCGGGAAGCGGAGAACGCACTTAAGCTCACTCGAGGTGAGGATGACCGACTATATTGCTTATAATTATTGGGTTAATTTCATAAGATTACCTAAATGAATTATATGTGTTTGGCATGATGTATTTATAATAATAAAATGCCTAAATGAGATTTTTATTGTTCATAAGCAAAAATGCATAATATACAAATTTATGAATAAATTGTGTATGATTATGTGTTATGAATACAATGGTATAATAGTTGTGTAAACTATAAACTAAATTGTGATAAATATACTTTTACCTCATGTAAGGAAGTCATGGAAGGATAAAAGTGATATTTTGATATTAGAGCCAAGTTATACTTGAATGTGGAATTTAATTGAGATATTCAAATTATTATGAACTTAAGTTACATTTGGAGTAGGCCTTAAGGGTTACTCAAAATGGATGGAACCTAGACTAAGAAGTGGTTTAGGGATTAGTTGACGTGACTATGAGCCGAGCTCTAGCACGTGGTAGCATGACTACGAGCCGAGCTCTAGCAAACGTAGGGTGACTATGAGCCGAGCTCTAGCACAAATTAGTATGACTATGAGCCGAGCTCTAGCAAACGTAGGGTGACTATGAGCCGAGCTCTAGCACAATTTTAGTATGACTATGAGCCGAGCTCTAGCAAATGTAGTGTGACTATGAGCCGAGCTCTAGCACAATTTAGCATGACTATGAGCCGAGCTCTAGCATGAAGGAACATGAGTTAAGTACAAATGAATGACATCTTGGATTGAGGGTCTTGGAAATTGAAACTTTGATTATACTTAGTATAGTTGTCATTGTACTTGTCAAATGCTTCCAAGTACTGACCTCCCCTTCACGGGGGAGGCCACCTCACAGTTTCAGGTAGGGAGTAGAGCTTGCTACTACCGCTCGTTGCTTCGGGGAATTCAAGGAGGAAGGCGGGGTTCGTACTTCTCCTGTTTCTGTTTTGAAAACAATTTAAATAATGCTCATGGATATTATTTCGAATATTTATTTGGGGGCTTGTATGCCCGTGGTTGCCACATGTGGCTTGAATATTTGTAATTATGTTTCCGCTGCTTAATTAAATATTTTACGTTATGATTGTTTATGGATGTACTATGTGTGAATGGTATTCAAGACGCCTAGTATAGTATGGATGAGTTGGACTGCGGTTGACTATTCGTACTGTACGGCGGGTTGTTGACGTGTCCGGTAGGTCCGGGGCGTGACAATTTAATTGGTATCAGAGCCTTAGTCCGTAAACTTCATAATGAAGCTTCAAAACCCCTTTTGAAAACGAATTTGAAAACCATGAGCATAAAAAGTTTTGTACTTATAGAACTTTTGGTACTTGAGTTGCAAAGTCTCTAATTGTTAAGATGGTACCCTTAACAATTGGTATGGGGGTGATTTAAGCCAAAAGATGTCTTTAAGTACCTATCCGTCACTTGACAGTTGATACGAGTCTAATGGCTCCTTCTAAACTTCTTTCAGAAATGGAGCCAATTGGTAGAATCACTAGGAGGAACCCGACGGGCCGTGTACCGGGTGGGTCCGAACGCGGCAGCCGGGGGTCCACTAGGGTGTCAAGGGGAAGGGGCCGTGGAGACCAACAACAGACCGTGAGCGATGGCCACGTGGACACCGAGAGTGAGACTTATTGGTCCTATGAGGACTCAACTTATAGACCGGAAACCGAGCCGGTGGAAACCCCATATGATGGGGAGGATGATGATGTGAGTGAAGAGAGTGAAGATGATGGCACTCTTGGGAGAATCGAGGCGCTGCTCCAACAATACCACCAGGAGCGTGAGGAGAGGAGACAACGCCGAAGGCGCCGAGCGGGGCAACCTTCGGGCATGGCTTCAAGAGGGGGAAGTCATGGTGCTTCTAGGGTCCATGTTGAACCCCATGGAGGCCAAAATGCTGGAGGTCCAACCATAAGGATCTCCAAATTTGTCAAGGAAGCAAGAGATTTGGGATGTAAACCGTTTGACGGAACGGGGGACATCTCCGTGGCGGCCGAGTGGATCAAAAGATTCAACGAAGCGGCCCTTGACATGCAGCTGCCACCCAACATGAAACTGAGGGTGGCAATAAGATTGCTTGAAGGCATGGCGTCCACATGGTGGGACGGAGTCAAAGGGAAGTACGGCGAGGCCGTCACTTGGGAGAACTTCCGGCAGGATTTCTTCAACCAATACTACTCCGACTTCGAGGTAAACATGAAGAGGAGGGAGTATACAAACTTGACACAAGGAGGTGCATGCACGGTGAAGGAACTTGAGCACAAGTTCAGAAAGCTTGCCGAATTCATACCGGAGTACATATGTGATGAGAACCGGATGGTGAACCACTTCTGGGATGCCTTGGACCTTGACATACGTGAGAGGGCAACACAATTGCCTAATATGACGTTTAGTCAAGTGGTTGAACAAGGCCTGAAGGGAGAGAAGGAGTGGGAGGAAAGAAAGCTAAGGAATGCCGAGGAGGCGAAGAAAAGGAAGTGGGAAAGCCATGGCCCCCAAGGTTCCAACAAGAAGGGGAACCATGGGGGAGGCGGATCGTTCAGGGCACCGGCACCGCCATCAAAAGGGAACCCGGCCTTCAGCGGGCACAACTCGGGCTCACAAGCGTCAACTGCGCCAAGGTGTAGGAATTGCAACCGGAGCCACGCCGGTAAGTGTCGTGATCCACCACGGTGCTACCAACGCGGGAGCACAGGGCATATCAAGCCCAACTGCCCTCAACTTGGTGGGAACCGAGGGGCGGGATCAAGCGGCCCTACTACGGCAAGTAGGAACCGAACCGGAGCACCTCATGCCAGTACGGGCCAAGGGGGAGCAAGCACAAGCAATGCACCGTCCGTTAACCAAGGAAGGACCCAAGCAAGGGTCTACGCAATGACGGAGGCGGATGCCCGAGCTAACCCAGATTCGGTTGCAGGTACGACCGCTTAACTTCCCGTATTTTACCCATTCCTCATCCATAAATTGAAGTTATAAATCCTAGAATCCAGGTGGGAGCGGACGTAAGATTGAAATGGGAAAGGAGAGCAAAACCATGCTACTACCCGACCGGGTAGGGCAATAAACCCGACCGGGTAGGACAAGTTTTTGCCCTCGTAAACCTTCTGGATCGCATACCCGATCGGGTTTGGTAATGAACCCGACCGGGTAGGCCAAGTTTTGCACTCATAGGTCCACTGGAACACATACCCGACCGGGTATGGTGGTATACCCGACCGGGTGTGTCAAAAATTTCTGCCCGACACCCACTGGAACACATACCCGACCGGGTATGGTGGTATACCCGACCGGGTTTGTCAAAAATTTTTGCCCGACACCCACTGGAACACATACCCGACCGATTATGGTGGTATACCCGACCGGGTTTGTCAAAAAAATTCTGCCCGAACCCACTGGAACTCATACCCGACCGGGTATAGTATGTTACCCGACCGGGTACACCTCGAAGTGTTCGTCAAATGAAAAAGTTGTCTTCATGAAAGTTGTAGATATTTTCATTGTCTAAATGATGGAATTTGAACCGAACGATTTGGTTAAGTATGTGAAGAGATATGATCAAAACGGTGAGACAGTGTCAATTTATATCTTAACTGCGAACGTCAACCATAATTGGGGGATTTTGCCCACTTTAAGGACATAATTTCGCACTATGTTCTTCGTAGGATTGGTCGGTATGTTAGAGAGGTATCTTACATGGCTTATAAATGTAGGAACACTAAAGATTAATGGGAGATGTGCGAGAATCCTCATCGATACCGGGGCGCAACGATCATTTGTGAGTGAGGCATTCGCCGGGGGATTCAACGTGCCCCTGGTACCGATGGCTCAAGCCCTATTGGTATCCACACCCCTAGGGGAAGACATCGAGAGAGATAGCCACTATCCATCGTGTGAGGTGGAAGTGGAGGGCCAAAACTTGTCGTGTGATTTCGTGCCGCTGAGTATGATTGAATTTGATGCAATCCTGGGGATGGATTGGCTTGAGAAGCATCATGCTAGGGTCGATTGCTACACGAAAGTACTTGAACTCGAAAGCGACGAAGGGGCAACCTTACGCTTCGAGGGGGATAGGGCCAAATCCAATAGTTGTATCATATCCGCCGTAAGGGCTAGGAGTATGATGAGAAAGGGATGTCACGCTTATCTAGCTTATGTAATAGACAAAACCAAGGAAGAGGCGAGCATTGATGATGTGAGGGTAGTATGCAAGTATCCGGATGTCTTTCCAAAAGACTTACCGGGACTTCCACCCGATAGGGAGATTGAGTTCGTGATCGAGGTCGAGCCCGGCACCAAACCAATCTCCATACCGCCGTACCGCATGGCACCCGCTGAACTTAACGAGTTGAAAACCCAATTGCAAGAGCTTTTGGATAACGGTTTCATTAGACCAAGCCACTCCCCGTGGGGAGCACCGGTTCTTTTTGTGAAAAAGAAGGATGGAACACTTCGAATGTGCATTGACTATCGTCAACTGAACAAGGTCACAATCAAGAATAGGTATCCTTTGCCTAGGATTGATGACTTGTTTGATCAACTACGAGGAGCAACCGTGTTTTCAAAGATTGACTTGAGGTCGGGGTACCATCAATTGAAGATTAAGGAGGATGACATACCGAAGAGTGCTTTCCGCACGAGGTATGGGCATTTTGAGTTCCTCGTTATGTCGTTTGGGTTAACAAACGCCCCGGCGGCATTCATGGACTTGATGAACCGAGTATTTCACAAATACTTGGACCGATTCGTGATTGTGTTCATTGATAACATCTTGATCTACTCAAAGAGTGAGGAAGAGCATGAGGAGCACTTGATACTCGTTCTTGAGACACTACGGGAGAAGCAACTCTATGCCAAATTTTCTAAATGTGAATTTTGGCTTAAGGAGATTGGTTTTCTCGGGCATGTGGTTTCGGGATCGGGAATTGCTGTTGACAACAAGAAAATAGAAGCCATCACCGAATGGGAGAGGCCAAAGAACGTCAAGGAAATTCGTAGTTTCCTTGGATTGGCAGGATACTATAGAAAGTTCGTGGAGAAGTTCTCTGTTTTGGCATCACCGTTGACGAAGCTCACTCGAAAAGGAGCTAAGTTTGTATGGGATGACAAATGTGAGAAAGGATTCACTGAACTGAAGAAGAGATTGACCGAGGCACCGGTACTTACATTACCCAAACAGGGTATGGGGTACGATGTCTATAGCGACGCGAGCATCCAAGGGCTTGGATGTGTGTTAATGCAGGAGGGGAGGGTAATTGCCTATGCTTCACGACAGTTGAAGAAGCATGAGGTAAATTACCCCACCCATGATCTAGAGTTGGGAGCAGTGGTGTTCGCACTGAAGATTTGGAGACATTATCTCTACGGAGAGACATGTCGCATATACACTGACCATAAGAGCTTGAAGTACGTGTTTACTCAGAAAGAGTTAAACATGAGGCAGAGGCGGTGGATGGAGTTGATAAAGGACTACCATCTAGTGATTGAGTACCATCCAGGCAAGGCAAATGTGATGGCAGATGCTTTGAGCCGGAAGAGCTCATCTGGGGCATTGATAGCTAATTTGAGGGCATTAAGAGCCCAACTGGAGGTGTCCAGTAATGGTGCCTTATTGGCACGGTTTGAGGTGAGACCTACTTTGCTTGATGAGATCAAGAAGGGTCAGGAAACTGACGATGAAATCATGAAGGTCAGGGAACGCATGCAAGCGGGACCGGTGGAGGACTTCAGGGAAAGAGACGACGGTCTTTTATTATTTCGTGACCGAGTGTGTGTGCCGGCAGATGATGGGCTCCGAAAGTCCATCTTAGAGGAAGCTCATTCATCGGCTTATGCCATGCACCCGGGGGGCACGAAGATGTATCGCGATTTGAAGGAAAGTTACTGGTGGTCCGGTATGAAGAGAGAGATAGCCGAGTACATCAGTCGGTGCCTTACTTGTCAACAAGTCAAGGCAGAACATCAGCATCCAGCTGGGTTACTACAGCCACTTTCCATTCCAGAATGGAAGTGGGAGCATGTGACTATGGATTTCGTGGTGGGGTTGCCACGGACCGTGAACAACTATGATGCGGTATGGGTAGTAGTTGATAGGCTCACCAAGGGTGCACACTTTTTGCCTATTAACATCACTTACCCTCTTGAAAGATTGGCAAAGCTATACACGGAGGAGATTGTGAGACTACATGGAGTCCCGATATCCATTGTCTCGGATAGGGATCCACGGTTCACATCTCGATTTTGGCCCAAGTTTCAAGCATCTTTGGGTACTAGATTGAAGTTCAGCTCGGCTTTTCATCCACAGACGGATGGACAATCCGAGCGAGTGATACAGATATTGGAGGACATGCTTAGAGCGTGTGCTCTGGAGTTCCAAGGAAGTTGGGACAAACATTTGGCTCTAGTCGAGTTCGCCTATAACAACAGTTATCAGGCGAGTATTGGCATGCCTCCATACGAGGCATTGTATGGGAGGAAGTGCAGAACACCGTTATGTTGGGATGAGGTTGGCGAGGCCAAGCTCGAGGGAATTGAACTTGTTGAAATCACCAAGGCTAAGGTGAAAGTCATTCAGGATAGACTCAAGGCTGCCCAAGATCGGCAGAAGAGCTATGCCGACAAACGACGAAGGCCATTGGAGTTCGAGGTTGGTGATAAGGTCTTCCTAATGATTTCTCCTTGGAAGGGTATCATTCGATTCATATCGAGGGGAAAGCTTAACCCCAGGTATATTGGCCCATTTGAAATCCTTGAAAGGATAGGGGCTGTGGCATACCGTCTCAAGTTGACCCCAGAACTTGAGAAGATACACGACGTATTTCATGTATCGATGCTCAAGAAATACGTGAGAGATCCATCTCATATTCTTGAGAAGCCACCGGTGGAGATACGTGAAGATCTTCAATATGCGGTGGAACCGGTAAGGATTGTGGGTCAACAGGTGAAGAAACTGAGGAACAAGGAGATTCCTATGGTAAAGGTTCTTTGGAGGAGTGATCGAGTCGAAGAAGAAACCTGGGAGACTGAGGTCTCAATGAGGGAGCAATACCCGTTTCTTTTCGATTAGACACGTGGATTTCGGGGACGAAATCCCAAATAAGGGGGGGGTGAACTTGTAACACCGTCCCCAAATGTATTTACTTTTAAGTGAATAAAGTATTGAACCTTATGGAACGGTTAACGAATATTCGAAGTTGTGAATTTTTATTAATGTTTTTGCGTGAATCGTAAATTCGCACGTGAGGCCCGCACCGGGAGCGGGGGCCGCCCGATATTCCCGGGACCATATATTTTATTCATCTTGGTCTAGATAATATTTATATGGTGGTGGGCATCTCATTTGAGCAATGGAAAGGCCCAGAGTTGACCGATTGGTCAAAAGAGGCCCAAATCCCGGTATTGGTAATTTAACCGATAAAAGCCCGAAATTGGATTTCGGGGACTTATAAATTAAAGTTTGGGAATGTATATTCATTATAAAGGGTATAATGATTAAGAGCACATAATATATTTTATTTGACCCGATAAAATAAAATATATTTAAAACAGCCCGAGAAATACAACTTTCGGGACCAATCGTACACTTCGGGACAAATTGGGATGACCTCCCACAGGGGTGGGGGCCACCCCACGAAATTGTCAACCAACAAAGGTTGATTGAGCCCAAAAGTGGGCTGGAGACTATTGAGGAGATGGGGGAGACACCTTTGACATCAAAAGGGGCCCTCTCACCCCATAATTTCCCAAAGAAAACAAAAAGAAACACACCCCCTCTTTCCTCACTCAATCACTTCGGCCAGCACCAAGGAAAAGGGGAGAAAGAGCTCTGAAAACTCATCCTCCATAGCCAAGAACCGAGCTCAAGAAGGAGTAGCCCAAAAGAAGGTGTTTTGAGAAGGAAAAAGCTAGGGGAAAGTGAGAAAAGTGAGGTAATGGCCTTATCATAGCTTCTCCTTTATTTTTTCTTCTACCATATGAGATATATATCATATGGAGAACCTTGAGGACTGTTCTACATGATCTAAGTGTGAAATAATGGGTTGGAAGGTGGTTCTATGTCCAAAAACGGACTTAGAAGCCAAAACGACCGATTCACCGGAAAATAACCTTTTAGAGGTTATTTGTATTGATTAAGGTTTTATGGTGTTAAAACCTTGTTAGGAACTTGATTAAAGTATTTTTGAGCTTCGCCGGAGTTTTGCCGGAGTTGGTCAAAGTTCACCGGAGTTGGTCAAAGTTCCACCGGGAAGCGGAGAACGCGCTTAAGCTCACTCGAGGTGAGGATGACCGACTATATTGCTTATAATTATTGGGTTAATTTCATAAGATTACCTAAATGAATTATATGTGTTTGGCATGATGTATTTATAATAATAAAATGCCTAAATGAGATTTTTATTGTTCATAAGCAAAAATGCATAATATACAAATTTATGAATAAATTGTGTATGATTATGTGTTATGAATACAATGGTATAATAGTTGTGTAAACTATAAACTAAATTGTGATAAATATACTTTTACCTCATGTAAGGAAGTCATGGAAGGATAAAAGTGATATTTTGATATTAGAGCCAAGTTATACTTGAATGTGGAATTTAATTGAGATATTCAAATTATTATGAACTTAAGTTACATTTGGAGTAGGCCTTAAGGGTTACTCAAAATGGATGGAACCTAGACTAAGAAGTGGTTTAGGGATTAGTTGACGTGACTATGAGCCGAGCTCTAGCACGTGGTAGCATGACTACGAGCCGAGCTCTAGCAAACGTAGGGTGACTATGAGCCGAGCTCTAGCACAAATTAGTATGACTATGAGCCGAGCTCTAGCAAACGTAGGGTGACTATGAGCCGAGCTCTAGCACAATTTTAGTATGACTATGAGCCGAGCTCTAGCAAATGTAGTGTGACTATGAGCCGAGCTCTAGCACAATTTAGCATGACTATGAGCCGAGCTCTAGCATGAAGGAACATGAGTTAAGTACAAATGAATGACATCTTGGATTGAGGGTCTTGGAAATTGAAACTTTGATTATACTTAGTATAGTTGTCATTGTACTTGTCAAATGCTTCCAAGTACTGACCTCCCCTTCACGGGGGAGGCCACCTCACAGTTTCAGGTAGGGAGTAGAGCTTGCTACTACCGCTCGTTGCTTCGGGGAATTCAAGGAGGAAGGCGGGGTTCGTACTTCTCCTGTTTCTGTTTTGAAAACAATTTAAATAATGCTCATGGATATTATTTCGAATATTTATTTGGGGGCTTGTATGCCCGTGGTTGCCACGTGTGGCTTGAATATTTGTAATTATGTTTCCGCTGCTTAATTAAATATTTTACGTTATGATTGTTTATGGATGTACTATGTGTGAATGGTATTCAAGACGCCTAGTATAGTATGGATGAGTTGGACTGCGGTTGACTATTCGTACTGTACGGCGGGTTGTTGACGTGTCCGGTAGGTCCGGGGCGTGACATCATCAACCGTTGTCTGAGAACAAACCAGAAACGATGACGGAGGCGGAATGGAATTTGTTGGATCGACAGGCTCTTGGTGTGGTGAGGTTGTCGTTGGCGAAAAACGTTGCCTACAACATTGTCAACGAGAAGACAACGTTTGGACTGCTCAAGGCGTTATCCAACATGTATGAGAAACCCTCAGCAGCAAACAAGGTTTTCTTGATTAGACAGTTGGTGAATACGAGAATGAAGGAAGGTGCATCCGTGGCAGATCACATTAACGAGTTTAATTCAATCATATCCAGGTTAGGCTCGGTTGAGATTAAATTCGATGATGAAGTCCAAGCATTACTTTTGTTATCATCTTTGCCCGATAGTTGGTCCGGTACAGTCACAGCGGTTAGTAGTTCATCTGGAACCACTAAGCTTACCTTTGAAGGTATTCGTGACTTAATCCTTGGTGAGGATATCCGGAGGAGGAGTTCGGGGGATAGCTCCAACAGTTTGTTGAGTACTGAAGATAGGGGTAGAAAATTCACTAGAGGAGGTAACAAGAAGGGAAGATCGAAGTCGAGAAAGAGAGGGCAATCCAAGAACCGGAAGGACATCAATTGTTGGAATTGCAAAGAGAATGGACACTTCAGAAATCAGTGCCCAAAACCCCCTGCAGACAAAGGCAAGAAGGAGGTGAACGTGGCAGAGGATTATGAAGATGTTCTAATTTGCAACGTTGAGAATTCAATTGAGTCCTGGATCATGGATTCAGGTGCGTCGTTTCATGATTGTCATTGCAGGGATTTGATGGAAAATTTCAGGCCCTACAACGGAAGAGTTCGTTTGGCAGATGACAAATCCCTGGAGATCACGGGTATTGGGGATGTTGATCTCAGTACCACTTTGGGTACGACCTGGAGGTTGAAAGATGTGAGGTATATTCCAGACCTGAAGAAGATGTTGATCTCAGTTGGACAGCTTGATGAGGAAGGCCATAACGTTAGTTTTGGCAACAAGCAATGGAAGGTGACAAAGGGAAAGCTGGTCATTGCTCGTGGGCAGAAGCATGGTACACTGTACATGGTTGAAGTGTCCACAGATGGGGCAAACACAGCAGTTGAAGATACAGGGGTCTCTACTTTGTGGCACCAAAGACTTGGGCACATAAGTGAGAATGGAATGAAGATGCTGTCTTCAAAGGGCAAAATCCCAGATTTGAAGAATTCAAAGTTGAGCTTTTGTGAGCCATGTGTTCTAGGCAAGCAAAAGAGGGTAACCTTTGTGAAGACAGGACAACAACCCAAGACTGAGCGGCTGGAGTTGATTCATTCAGATGTCTACGGACCTACAAAGGTCTCTTCGATTGGAGGTTCCCGTTACTATGTTACATTCATTGATGACTCTACACGGAAGGTATGGGTTTATTTTCTTAAAAATAAATCCGATGTCTTTAACACTTTTAAGAAGTTCAAAGCTGCAATTGAGAATGAAACAAATCTCAAGATTAAGTGTTTAAAGAGTGATAATGGGGGTGAGTACAGTAGCACAGAGTTTGTAGAGTATTGTGCTGAACAGGGGATTAGAATGCTGAAGACGGTTCCAGAAACACCACAGCAAAATGGTGTTGCAGAGAGGATGAACAGAACACTGAATGAGAGGGCCAGGAGCATGAGATTGCATGCAGGACTTCCAAAGATGTTCTGGGCCGCTGCGGTGAACACAGCAGCATACTTGATCAACAGAGGACCCTCATCTCCCATAGGTTTCAAAATTCCAGAAGAGGAATGGAAAGGTCGAGAGGATCCCTTACTCACTTGAAAGTTTTTGGTTGTATTTCTTATCTCAAAGTTAGAGATGCAGATAGTGACAAGCTCGAGGCAAAGGCAAAGAAGTGTATCTTTATTGGGTACAGGATGGATGACATGGGCTACAGGTTCTGGGACAACCACAGCAAGAAGGTTATCAGAAGTAGAGATGTCACTTTCAACGAGAATGCCCTGTATAAAGATGGTCTTGCAGCAGAAACTAGCAAAGCCAAGCAACCAGAAAACAAGCAACAAGCTAAGTGGTGTTTGACGGGATGACTGAAGATGACATATCACAACCTGTTGGTTGTGATGAGACAGCTGGAGGCTCAGGGAGCAGTGGGAGCTCAGGAGATACAGGAATGTCTGAAGATAGTGGGAGTGATGAAGATGGTGAAAATTCAGAGGCAGCTACTCCTCAAGTCAGACAGTCCACTAGAATCAGAAGACCTCCTAACAGATATTCTCCTTCAGCAAATTACCTGTTGCTGACCGAGAATGGAGAGCCAGAATCTTACTCAGAGGCGCTGACCATGAAAGATTCCATACAGTGGAAGAAGGCCATGGAGGATGAGTTAGATTCACTTGACAAGAACCAAACTTGGTCCTTAGTCAAGCTACCACCGGGAAAGAAAGCTTTGGAGAACAAGTGAGTGTTCAGAATCAAAGATGAAGCAGATGGAAGCAAAAGATACAAGGCGAGGTTAGTTGTCAAAGGGTTCCAACAGAAGAAGGGAGTTGATTACAATGAAATCTTCTCTCCGGTTGTGAAGATGACTACTATCAGGATGATCCTTGGTATCGTTGCTGCTGAAAATTTGCACTTAGAGCAGCTGGATGTAAAGACTGCTTTTCTTCATGGCAACCTTGAAGAAGACATTTACATGGCTCAACCGGTAGGTTTCTCAGTGTGTGGTAAGGAGAAGTTGGTATGCAAACTCAAGAAAAGTCTATACGGACTGAAGCAAGCTCCTAGATAGTGGTACTTGAAGTTTGACAGTTTTATGCAGCGGAATGGGTACACTAGATGCAAGATGGACCATTACTGTTACTTGAAGAAATTCGAGTCTTCATACATTATTCTTCTTTTGTATGTTGATGACATGTTGGTGGCTGGAGCAAACATGCAGGAGATCAACAAGTTCAAGAAGAAGTTGTCTGAAGAATTTGAGATGAAGGATTTAGGGGAGGCGAGACAGATTCTTGGGATGAGCATAGTCAGAGACAAGGTGGAAGGTACTTTAAAGCTTTCACAGCAGAAGTACATTCAGAAGGTCCTTGAGAAGTTCAGAATGACGGACGCCAAGCCAAGGAGTACACCGTTAGGGAGTCAGTTGAAACTCTCCAAGCAGCAGTCTCCGAAGACCGATGAAGACAAAGATGAGATGGCTAAAGTTCCTTATGCATCAGCAGTTGGCAGTTTGATGTATGCGATGGTGTCAACAAGGCCAGACATTGCTCATGCAGTGGGAGTTGTTAGCAGGTTTATGTCAAATCCAGGGAAGGAACATTGGGAAGGAGTCAAGTGGCTGCTACGCTACTTGAAAGGCACCTCTAGAATTGCTCTTTGTTTCAGGAGGAATGGGGCAATTCTAGAAGGTTTTGCAGATGCTGATTTGGGGGGCTGTCATGATTCCGGGAAGAGCACTACGGGTTACATATTCACTATTGGAGGTACGGCAATCAGTTGGATGTCCAGATTACAGAAGAGTGTAGCTCTTTCAACCACAGAAGCAGAATATATGGCTATTGCTGAAGCGGCCAAGGAGATGATTTGGTTGAAGAACTTTCTTTCGGAGTTGGGCATGAAACAGGGGGATTGTGGTCTGTACTGTGACAACCAGAGTGCTATTCATCTCGCGAAGAATCCGGTGTTTCACAACAGAACGAAACACATCAAGATGAGGTATCATTTCATTCGAGAATTGATTGAAGATGGTACTATAAATTTGAAGAAGATGCTTGGTACGAAGAATCCAGCAGACATGCTTACCAAGGCGGTGACAACGGAGAAGTTGAAGCTATGCATGGCTTCAACGGGCCTTCCAGATACTTGATGAGAAGGCGTGGACGAGAGAGAGAGAGAGAAATCAGGGGTTTTACAGAAGATACATGTTCTTGGATGGCAGAAAATTGTTGACCAAGCCTCCAAGTGGGAGATTGTTGAAGATGGAGTCTTGTTCAGAGTTTCAGAACTGATGCCCGACCGGGTCAGATGAAGGACCCGACCGGGTATGTTGAAGCAGAGACCTGGGGACTCTCTGGAATGTGAGACCCGACCGGGTCAGGTGAAGGACCCGACCGGGTCAGATGTTCGATAAGCTTCTATTTTGGAAACCCGACCTGGTTTCTACCCGGGTTTGTATTCTGTGAAGGAGACCCGACCGGGTCAAATAAGAGACCCGACCGGGTCAGTCGACGGGATTTTTAATTACAGGCTTAATTTTGGGCCTGCGGCTCTAATCTCAGTATAGGTTTTCTTAAAACTATTTAAACGACTCTTATGTACTTGTAAACCTCTGGAGTGACGCTGATAATAATACATACTCTCTCTCGTTCGCCGTGGACTAGCACAATCAAATCGATTGTGTGAACCACGTTAATTCTTGTGTTCTTGCTCTTAATTTATCGTTTATCTTTGCCTAATCGTAACAATTAGTGTATAGCGTGTAAACTTTAAAGTTGATTACTACGGGTATTTGATTTTAATAATTACTCTTGTGAACGAATAAAACTTAGAAATTTTTACATAGTTCGAATTTTGATTGACACATTGAATATTTATAATTTTTATTTGCACGTTAAGCTTTTATTTATGAATCATTTACATATTTATTATTATTTTATATAAAATTGTAGGTTTTGTGACATAAAAACAAAAACATTATTTAGAATATACAAAGGTAAAGAACAACCAAGTATTCCAGCCCAGCTGGTTGTGAGGTTACCGTGTCTAGTGGGAGGTCTCGAGTTCGAAACTCGCTAGACACATAAGGGTTCGAAACTCATTGGAACGACTTTTCGTCCTGATTACTCCAGGCCCCCCAGACCCCCTGAGTAAAAAAGAAAAAAGAAAAAAAAAAGAAAAAACTAAGAAAAGACTAGGACATCAAATTATTTGCCGA